AAAAATACATAAACTGGGACCATTTAAAAATTGAAATCTCCTAAAGAAATACAGAAAGGTGGGCTTTCATATTCCCAAAAAAATCACAAGTATATTTATGCTATCAATTTCTTTATCATTGCTGCAAGTGGCTATTGTAAAAAATAATATTCAGGTCTCAAAGGAACTGAAAAAAAATCTGTTTCAATCATATGCAGTAAACTAAGGCATCATGTGGTTTAGAAGCTTTGTACGAGATTTACATTAAGTGAATCCATCTGAGAAAAAAAATATCTCAGCGTCCTTAACAGCCGCAGTAGTATAAATTTTGGTATACACTGCTTGAAGAAAGATGTAAGTGCTACAATAATTAATATGATTGTGCAACCACATTTATGCATTTATTTTACATTTATACTGGATTAGTATGTGTGTTTCAATATTTATCAATAAACTATATTCTGATTGTGTACTGTAACATGACCAGTAGAGCTGAAAAGTCCAGTGCGCGCCAAGATGAAACTACCAACAGAAAACTGTATGTTTCTGTCGCTTCCCTGCAGGGTTAGCTCACTTGCTTCCACCACATCAGCACTACTCTTGGTGGCCCCAAGCTGTGTGTTGCCATCTCCAGCCCCACTTCTCAACAGGAAGTCATTTCTCGTTCCTAATTCAGGCAGAAAACACACACCACCCTCATGCTGCTTACATCTTTAGGCTTCTGGCCAGTTTCTTCCACAAAAGTTTAAATTTACAAACCTCACGCGTCCTTTTTCATTCTCTTACTACAAGTTTTGTACCATATGCTGCTTCTTATAAGCAACAGAGCAAAATTCTGGCCAGAGAAACATTTTGATAGACAGGACAGAAAGTGAAGTACAGTCAGGCCAGTCTCAGACAATGGCTTCTCCACGAAGAATGCAATGCATGATTCAGTTCTGTTGGTAAAGGGGGAAAAAATCATATCTAATCTGTGTGAAGTCTGTTGTCTGCAGGCTGTTGCTACCGACAGAAAGGTACAGAACAAATAATGCATAGTAATTTTTTATGTATCTTAAGACTATTACATTCACTAGTGATTGTTTATGGTCTTTAAAAGTCTGTCCATAAAGTCAAAATTATTTGAAATACTTATAAATTGTATGAGAAAGAAAAAAAAAGTATATTTCTGTGATGTTTCCTCGAATCGATTCCTTTTCATATTTCTATAAGGAAATCTTATATAATATCCTAGTTTGCATACACTTGAACATTAATTTTCTAAGTATGGCATGCTGTCTATGACAACCATCTGCTCAGACTTCACTTCTTTCTCTTAGTCAGTCCACTTGAAATTAACATCCACAGTTTCTGAAAAGGCAATGCAAATGATAAAGTTGTTCATATTTTTGCATTCAATTTACCATGCATTGTAACCACTTCTGGTATAGATAATGTTTATGAGAAATCAAACAAAATGAAGATACAAATCACAAATGCTGAGCAAAGCTGTCATTTTTCAGACTGTATATGATCTTGTATAATAGAGGCATATATTGCAATTTTGATCAGAGACAGCTATCTTACTTCAATGCTTAGCCTGAAAACTAAATACTTGTAATTGTAAGAGGAAGAATGGCTTAAGGAGCAACTAAAAATAAAATCACTAACTGGTAACATGGAGTGCACCTCAGCTGCATACAACTACACTTGTTTAAATTTGTTTTTAGAAAGCACTGGGATTTGATAATTACACAGAATCAGAGGGCTAGAGCACCTCCCCTACAAGGACTGAGGGAGCTGAGGCTCTTCAGTCTGGAGAAGAGAAAGCTCTAAGGAGACCTTACAGTGGCCTTCCAGTAGCTGAAGGGGCCTTACAGAAAGCTGGGGAGGGACTTTTTATAAGGGCATGTAGTGACAGGACAAGGAGAAATGGCTTTAAACTGGAAGATAATAGATTTAGACTTGATATTAGGAAGAAATTCTTTACTGTGAGGGTGGTGAGACACTGGAACAGGTTGCCCAGTGAGGTTGTGGATGCCCCCTCCCTGGAAGCATGGAAGGCCAGGCTGGATGGGGCTTTGAGCAACCTGTTCTGGAGGAAGGTGTCCCTGCCTATAGCAGTGGGTTGGAACTAGATGATCTTAAAGGTCCCTCTCAAGCCAAACCACTCTGTGATTCTATGAATCACGGAATAATTTTGGCTTGAAAGTATGTGCAGAGGTCAGCTATTTCAAAATTCTGCTCAAAGCTAGTAAAGCTGGACCAGGGTGTCTGTGGCTGTGTCTTATCAGGTTCTGATCACATTCATTGGTCTGAACTCCATAGCCTCACCAGACACTTTCTTCTGGAGTCTGACCACCCTAAGGGAGAAATGTTTTCCATTATATCAAATTGGAATTTCCCATGTTCTGACACATCTTTCACCTTTATGTTATCACTGTGCAACTCCAAGAAGAAAGAACTTGCTTCGACATCAGCAAGTCCAACTATAGCTATCAGAAAATGCCAAGTAGTTGCTACCACAGTATTGCTCCTGTTCCACTGTAGAAATTATCCTGTAGTTTTCACTTAAAGATGTAATCATTTTTTGCATAGGACTGCCACATCTTTTGAGGTCCAAAAGACAAACCACAGCCCATATGAAATAAAACTGCCTCTAGCTGAATCATTCTGTCACCAGGAGAAAATCTGCCTGTGCTGCACTCCAGGCTGCTGTAGCTGCCCTGTTGGCAGGACTGGGGATTTCTCATTAGTGCTAGCTCATTTATCTCAAACCTCTCAACACTTTGTGGCATAGATGTCTCCCCTTCCACTAATTTACTGTCTGTCCGCAGGCTAATCATTTTATCCATAACTTAGTTTATTCATGAAATCGTAGTGCAGATGTCATTTCACATCTCAGGAGCACTCAGAACAGAAAGGAACTGATGTTTGCAATGTCTCAGATTGCGGCGTTTGGAAAAAGGATGCAAAAATGCATTATTTTATATTTACCATAAGCATTAGATTGCATCTCATGAATATGGCTTGAGATCATCTACTGAACAGTAGGAGACAGTTCAGTTAACTCATGCAGTTATTATCTTGAAAAAGAATCCTCCTAAAATGCCTTCTGTAATTACACCAATTGTTTAAGTGTTTTAACGCCATGAAGTCCAAGCAAGGGTTACCCAGGCCTAAGTCTACCTGAACAGAACTAAATGAAATTTTTGTTTATGATTCAATAGATATCACTCCATTATGCCAAAAAAGTTGCAGTGGTAATTCTCATGGTTTAAAAAGGAAAAAATCAAGATAGTGTATTTTTATTAAATTGGAGTGCTTGCATGGTTTGTTAGAATTGGGAGCGATAATGGCAGTAATACAGCACAAAATTATTCTATGATTCTATGGATGTCTCCTCCCTGGAAGTGCTCAAGGCCAGGCTGGATGGGGCTCTGGGCAAGTAGGAGGTATCCCTGCCCTTAGTAGAGGGTTGGAACTGTTTTATGTATTAAGGCTCTTCCAACCCAACCCATTCTAGGATAATAAGAAAGTTAAATAAAAATATGAACTGAGTGGTGCCTATACAAATCTGATTAAAGATGTTTGTGTTGCAAATAATTTTATATCTGATGATAAAGTTTCATGGGGTTAAAAAACATGGATGTTTAAAGCATTCTGAAAGGAGGTTGTATTAAGAGTTTCCCAAACAAATTTCAATCCCATCTTCTGCCAGGTAAATAACAGCTTTGATTTTAGGAATAAAAGGCACCAAAACTCCTAATTTCTACTGAAGTAAGTCTGCGACATTTTGTGTGATATGTCAAAATGAACCTTGTATAGGTAATCTAAGGTAGTAGGGCCCTACTTAGTCTGAATCCAAACTGACAGAGAATATCACTAAAGGCTATACTGGTCAAAGGTAATGGGCAAAAAATGAAGTCATTTAGGTTGGAAAGCTGACAAAATTGAAAAAAAAACAGATCTGATAGGTTGTAAGCAAGCCTCATAAGAATATTTCCTAACTTTTTATTATTTTCTATTTAAATATCTTCAATATTTTTTCGAAGAGCACTAATGAAATCTTTTAAAAAAAACAAAACACAACAAAACACTCTACTTTTATCAAGAAGGGGGAGCTTGGCTTCATTTATATAAGTGGAACACTGGGGAAAAATCTTCCACTTTCTTCAACTTTATCTTCTCTTATGGATACTATGAAGCCACAGAAATGCAAACTCTACCTGTATAGACTGAATAGGCAATCTTTTACTGAAATTGAATGCTCAAAAATTGATTTTCCAAAGCCAAGAGCACATCCCAGTGCATATAACAAACAAATCTATACCCATCTCGACAGTCATAAATGAAGCAGACTAAGGCAATATTGCAGAAAATCGTAATTATTATGAAATATGGCTACAGTTCATTTGTCTCCCCGTAAAAGAACAAGCCTACTTCAAGGGTATGACATTTTAGGAAACCTGAAGTATTGGGCCACTATTTATGTGTACAAATATCATTTTGTTTTCACTTGTATATTCAAGATCAAGTTATAGTGTACATCTTGAATATTAGTGCTAAACTGCCTTACATCCTGAGATTTCCTTATGCTGATATCTCAGAATAAAATCTTGTGAACTTATGACACATTATATGTGAAATAGATCCCAGCTCGAAGATAAAAGTATTCTTCCCACAGTAATACTGTACAGAAAAGCAGAACATACAGAAAATAGTCTGAGATGAATGATAGCATTTATTTTGTATTCTTGTGCTTTGTGTTTTTTTTTTGTTTGTTTGTTTGTTTTGCCAGAATGTAACAAATAAATATTCTTTCATTGAAAAAATATTTGACAAAGATTCTCCAATATGTCTTGGCATTGTTTTCTCTCTATATCTTGCAGCTGAAAAATAATTTGTTCTTCACTGCTACATATCAAAGACATTATTAGTAGACAGCATTAAAACTTCAATTAGTAGAAACAAGCATAGTCAAGATAATAAATACTTTTTCTTTTGTTCATTGACATTGTTAAGGAAAACTTGTTACTTACCCAACATTTTCTGCATCTTCATCACACTCAGCCCTATATTTGCAAACTCCACATTTTGAGTGTTTTCTCTGAACTTCTGTGCCAGATCCTTCATACTCTAAACAAAACAAGGTACTGTTAGCAGAAAGCGTGACTTCTATATTAAGCTCTGACTTTGCCTGCCTAAATTCATTTACCTTCAACTATATTGTCAAAAGTTATCATATACTTAAACTGGAGCTCTAAACCTTAAAAGAGCTCCATCCTTCAAAATCCAGCAATTGGAGGTTGATAGAACAGTAACAATGACAAGCATTCCAAAAAACACAACTGCTTCATTGATTGTCTCTTCCTTTATTGTTATTTCATTGTATTTATTCTCACTTCACCAGACACACACTTACATTACTTCTCACATTTCTTCCCCTTTTTATTTCTGATGACAGTCTTAGACTATACTCATCTCTCATACATGCTGTGGTATATTTTCTAGATTGGTACGAGAGTAAAGGAAGAAAGTGATCTTAACAAGAAAATGGGATGAATGCTATGTCCCTGAAAAGTAAAATTAATACCCCAAATATTCTAAAAAACAAATGCACGGATCTTACTGTTGACATAGACATCAAAACTCTTAGTTGAGTAAAAGAAATACAACTACATGGAAATTGTTTCAATACAATATTTTCTTAATATTTTTTATTTTAACAATGCAGTAGGAGAGCTTGAAAAGAAGAAAAGGAAACAAATCTGCAGAGGGAGTCAAGAACTTTAATATACGTTTGTATAAGACTGACTGCACAAGGCTGTCGAAATGAGATCTAAACAAAGTGATTCCTTTCTCATAGTTTCATATGCTGTAGCAAGAGGAAATCAACCAACCATCAACAATTAAAATCTTGCTATGTTCTTTATATTTCAATAGAAAAAAGGAATCCACAATAGTCATTCCTAATCTTCCTTGATCTTACCTGAAGGGAATCTTTCCCTCTAACTGTAGGCTGAGCTTATATGGAAAGCACATGGTTAGTCTCTCTTGACTTCACTTCTGTCTAAAGCATAATGCTCATTTTTTGAAGATGACTACATACCCAAAATTTATTACAAAACTACACCACCATACATATTCCATCTCCACACTTACTAAATTGCAATAGAGGTAGTTTTCTTTTATATTTACAGTTACAACTTATTTATATGTAGTTTTTAAATTTTATCATATGCCTAACATGCTACTTTTTGACTGTTCTTCTGCATTGACCATTACTATTAACATTCACATTATTATTCATATTATTCCTCAATGAGTTCTCTTCAGAGACAACAATCTGTTGCAAAGAGAGAGGCTGGCATCCAAGAAAGATGGTCAAGATCCTGGACTCACTCTAGGGCTCTAAAACCTTGCCAGCTTGGGCATATCATTAGCCTGATCAGTTCTGATTTGTACACATTTCAAGACCAAGAGTCCACAGAAAAACAATAATTTCATAAGGATTCTTTAACATTTAATGATTTCCTAACTTACATTGGATGTGCACTGTGTGGATTTTGTGTCCTCTATTTACTTAGACTTTTGTGAGATATTGCCTTTGATTGCAGTGGTACACCTCAAAACCACTACTTTATACAAACTTCTTTTTTTAAAAAATAAGTGGTTAGATAGATTTTATATACCAGAAACCAATCATGACTGTCATTAAAAAAATTTGCCCCCTCCTCCACCCCCTTAATTCTATTTTCAGTTGATTCTTCCACTTTCTATTCTATTGCTTTGCTTCTGACAGGTGCCAATATGAGAGGCTACAGCTACATCCTTTCTCAAAATATCTGTACATTACTTCTCATTGTTCTAATGACAAAAAATAAATATAGAGAGATGAGTAGCCCACAAAATTCTTTATCAGTCATTTTTGAAGCTTTTAGGTGCAAACCAGACAGATCTGCAGATTATAAAACATCTGCCTTTGACATTTGGTGCTTAGTAACCTTCTGCTGTTCTGCTAGGATGGAAAATATTTCATCATTTTCTATATAAACTATCTGACTTCACTTGAAATACAACCAGAATGCCTTACAGAGCACTTTTGCTGCACTACTGGCATTTCAGTGTTCATAAACAGTAATCCACAACTACTAGGTAATTGTTTCTATAAGCTATTCAGTGTGAACTTCTCTTTCTCCCTGCTAAAATTGCTTTCTCTATCTTCAATATTTTTTGCTTTTTTAAGAAAAAGTGTGGTCTTCTTTTGTTGATTAAAACATGCAAATCCTAGTGCATATAGAGTTATTTATCTGTACTTTATCCTATTTGCACATAATAAATGCCTGCAAATCACAATTACCTGCACCTCAGGTACTGTTAATTTACACCTGTCAGGAAGAAGTGTAGTGCAGATGAATGCATCTTGATACAACATTTCTAGTTAGGCAATGGTCATCCGCAATTTTTAGAAGCTTCTTTCATTACTAGCTGCATGATGTACCAGCAGCATGAAACACTGTGTATGATTTAGATTGAAGTCCTTCACGTAAATGCAACTTTTCTCATCAACACAGAATATATAATAACCGTCTTTTCAGCCTGAATAGGTAGCAGACACATTCTGTACCCAACTTGTGTGCTGTTAAAATAAGTTCACCCATTAATATTTGAGGGCAATAGTTCCTCTGTTGTGTCTCCAGATTGGCAATGCACCTCTTGACAGATTGCCTCTCCCTTCTCCTTTCTTCTACATATTTGATTGTTCCTAAATAGGTTATAGCCATTAATTTTAATATTCCAATCAATCAAATCTTCCCAGCAGGTTTCAGTAATACCAATTAGGTCAAAATATGTTCCTAAACGAGCAATTCAAGTTCTTCTTGTTTATTATGCAGGCTTCTAATGTTGATGTATAAATGATTACAAAATTTCTTCTCCTCACTTTCTTTGGTATCTTGATTAATTCTGCTCTTGACATCTTAATTTCATGTTGAGTGAAAGCTCATTTTCCCTCTCTTTTCAGTTTCCTTTAGTGTTTCAGGTCAGCACCTCATTAATACTCTGTCCTTCAAAGAAATAAGGCACAAGGATGGGATCTGTGACTCCCAGTTGTCTGTCTGAACTGCACTATCCGCTAACACTTCTCCTTGAGTCGTTATTTCCCTGCAGAAGTTGGCCAGCTCTACGTCAGGAGCTTGCAAATGGACAATTGCTCTGGAGGAACTGGCCAGCAGTAAATTGCTTCCCTTGGCAACTCATTTGTGTGTTCCTACAATTGTAATACCTCTGGCTGGAAGAAAAAGTATTGATTTGTGTCAAGGTGAAGTTTGGACTGCCCCCAGGCATGGGCAGGAAAGAGAGCTTTGCTGTCATATATTTATCACTGCTCACAGTGAAATGGAAGGAGCCCGTGGAGAGCTGTGGCTGCTCTGTAGCCATGTATCTATGCAACAACAACTCCCAGGTCTGGGGAAGATCTCCTGAAAATCAATTCCTATCTGTATTTGGAGTACAGAGATTTTTTACTGATGTGCAACCTCATGGACGATAACTGAAATCAAAAACAATTTGGGAAAAATAGGAAGGGCCACAGCAAATCCTATTCTATATCCTTAAGATACCTCCTGAAGTCATACTAATCCCCTTGGTATGCCTAGCACTGAAAATTCCTCTCCTAACTACAGTCCACAGCATCACATACTATGGGTGGCAGTTCACTCAACTGTTCAGTAACTTAACCTCTCCTCCATTAATTCTTAGGGCAGTGATAATGATGGACTAGTTAAAATGGAGATTATTCTCATAATTTAAAACAAGGGTGCAAATTTGCTCTTTTGTCAGTAAGTTTACATTTGAAGCAAGTGCAACAACTAATTTTAGCCATCCCAAATTTCTGGCAAGCAGTTTCTTGATCAATCTAAACCAAGCTGCTGGCTTATGCAAAAGTATTAGTTGCCAGCTGGATCAGGAGCAAAGCCTAATTTGGTAGTCCAAGCTACACCTTGCTGTGCAGTATAAACAACATGGTGCAGCTGTAAGTGTGCTCTAGGAAAGACTCCAGCCTTTGAAATTCCATTTCTGGCATTGAAGATTTAATAAAAGGATGTCTGGACTATTTATCTGTGAGGAGCTTGAAGAGGTTGAGTTTGAAGCTGGTATCTTAATTGCAGGCCAGCCGTGGCAATGTTTGTCGAGTGATTATTATAATGATAGTGTGTGCAGAACTTGAGGTTGTGCAGAAGCAAATGACTCAAGGCCACACATTGCAAGACTCCCTACCACCACTGCCCTTGTTGTGTCTCAGGTATTTTACACATTTGGCAATTATAACTTCTGTGCATAATGATGCTATGAATAACAGTGGGGAAAACTAGCAAGAGCTGGATCAGCTCTCACTGCAAGACCTTCTGGCTAGAGAATATAAACACCAATTCACTCCACTGTCTTTCTTCAAATATGGCCAAACTCCTTTTTTTCCAAAGACGCAACAGCTTTGGCGTAAGCACTAGAGAAATTATGCATAAGTGGAAGATGATAGAAAATGGAAAGGACAGGAAAGTCACTAGATGTCAAAGAAGATGTCCTGCAATTTCATAAAGATGCCAAATGTAGTTCTGTGAGCCCTAAAAGGTCGCATAAGAAGAACCTGCTCTCATTTCTTATCTGTCACCCTGCACAGGAGCCAAGAAGAATCTGTCCTTCTGAGCCCCAGATTCCTGCATCACTGTGAACAAGCAGTGGCCCCTCTAAAATCCCTGCTAAGGGCAATTCTCACCGACACAACACCAGAACATGCAAGCTCTTTGTCTCTGCGCTGTTGAACCTTTGGTGAAATTATAGTAATTCTTGCAAGTTTTAGTTCGGTGTTAATTTTACCTACTGAGTATAGGACCTCAGAAGTAAATAGAGCTGCTGGAAGTAACATTGATAATCAGTGACAAACCATGTGATGGAATCAGCACTTACATCTCTCTAAATCACTCCGCATTATAGAAATATGCCTAAAAGACAAGATGTTACCTCCTATCCAGAGTGTTAATCACCATCAAGCTCCTGCAGTCATATTAAAATACATTAAAATACATCAGTAGTATTATCAGAATTTTAAGAAAAAATTATCTGAGGTTCTAAATGGT